CACGGTTAACTGCTTTTGGCCATGGCATCTCAGGGCCACCACTGACCTCTTTTGCTTCTGTGTCTCCAGCCTCTTTTCCAGCTATCTCAAGGTGTGGGCATTAGCAATTCCCTCTGCTCAGACTGCTTTTCTCCAGAGCTCTCTGGCTAGCTCTGTCAATTTGGGGCTCAGTTCATATTTTCATCTCTTCAGAGAGGCCGTCTCTGACCCTCTAACTAAAGCAGCCCATGCCGACTCTGCTCTCGTGGTCATTCCTCAGAGAGCATCTGCCAGAGGTCAGGCACTGGGCAAACAGCAGCGAACACAGCAGCAGAGCCCCTAAACTGCTCACTGCATTTCTGAGTGCCCACTCGTGTTCCTCATCGAAGGCCTGTGTGCCAGGTTCCATCTGTCTTTGCTCACCAAGTACTCAACAAACAGGCATTTGTTCAATGAAACCATGGATGTCGGGCTGACAGGAATGCGGAGCAGAGCAGCGGGCACATGCCCTGCCTTGTGCTTGGCTCCTGTGACAATGTCACTAACCTTAGCCAAAGAGCTCTTCAAAGATACCTTGCTTTGCCCCCAAATAGCTCCTGCTTACTGTGCATTATTTCTACAACCAACAGTGTTCTCCAAACTCCACCACCGGAACCAACCCTGATCCTCAAGTGATGGTGTTGGGAGTGATTAGGTCATGAGGGTGGATGGAAGTCCTGTGCCTGCAGTGACGCTGTTGGGATGATTAGGTCACAAGGGTGGCGCCCTCTCATAGGATTAGTGCCCTTTGGAAAACTATGAGAATGATGTTTGCAGTCTGAGCCATGGTATTCTGGAATAGTATCCCAAACTAAAATACCCTCTTATGGCAGAGTTGACAATCAGGTAACACAGGAGCCTCCCTGGGGTGAGTGACATTAGTGTCTGTTATCTAAAAGGAGCCCCTGCCCACCAGTTTCATAGGACCCTTCATTGCCACTCAGGTTCTGTGGCCTGCCAAATTCCAGTGTTACCCAGCTATAAGGCAATGCCTGCCCTATTGCTGGACCCAACAGCTTGCCTGGCATAAATGTTTTCTCTCACATAGCCCAGCTGTCCCCTGTGCTCAGAAGACTTAGCCAGTCTCACTCCTCCCTTGACTCACATTACTCTACCTCTAGCTACGACAAAGCTTCTGGCAGAAGCTCAAAGGCAGGTCTTTAGTGCAAACCATCCTGTGGTTCCTTCTGCTGACCCTACTGTCCCTGAAGGCCTTGCAAATACTGCAGACAAAGCCAGCTGCAGCTCAGAACTGCCTGCCTGTTCCATAGAGGCAGCTTATGAAATGGACAGCCTCTGCAGATCTGAGCTAGGGATCAATCCAGGAGCTCTGAAACCTGACTCCAAATACAGCAGCAGACACACTGCCAAAAGGAAGTGCAGCGTTCTTTGCTGAAGGTTTCTGTTCTGTTGGCCTTGGCCTGAGGTCCCTGAGTTTAACTAGTCCCTCAGGAAGTCACAGAACCAAAGTGACCAGTGCCTCTTATGACAGCAATCTATCCTTCTAGGACAAGGGAGAATTCCCCATACCCCAAGGTCACCAACAAGACAGGTTTATACTTGGGGGGGGGGGGGCGGGGAAGCAGCTCCACCTAAAATCTTTTTGCACAAGTCATGGAAGCAAATTGCAAGATTACTCCAAACGATAATGTAGATCCTTGTTCCCTTTCATTGGGGGAAATCTCTCCAGACTCCACTATTCCTAGCATTCGAGTTAGACCCAGAGGAGAAACCAGAGGCCTGGGGAAAGAATTTTAGTCTGCCCTGAGGACACCACCTTCTCCCTCCCCCGCAATATATCCCCATCTCAATGGCACTTACGGGCCTCTTCCTGGGGTCCGATTCCGGTCCAGATAGTGCCCCCAACTAGTGGCAGTGGCATGATATGGACAGCTGGCCCAGGCCAAGAGTTGCGGATGGTGGAGGGCAAGTGTGGGGACCTTACTCCAAATATTCATCAAAGACGTCGAGCTCCGAATCGGCATCATAGAGGCCAGAGCCAGGGTCGGAGAGTACGCCAAGGTCCACCAGCGCCTGGTCCAAGTCCTCGGGCAGGAAGACGAGGCCCACGTTGAGGACGATGTATTCCATGAGGAAGGCGTAGTAGAGGATCAGCACATTGACGAAAAACAGGCCCACGTAGAACATAGAGGGCAGCAGCGGTGGCTGCACGTAGGAGACCAGGGGGCCCAGAGCGTCCAGGTGGGTTGCGACGCGGGCACCGGGCATGCAGGGGCCGGCGGTGGGGGCGGCGGCCGGGCGGTCCCAGCGACCTCAGCCGCTGCGGCGCCCGGGCGGCCGGCGAGGAGGCAGTTCGGCCATTCAGAGGGCGCCCCGGGGCTCGGTGGCGGCAGCGCTGGGCCCCGGGCGGCCACCGAAGACGCTCCTTGACCCCCGAGATGCTCGGGACCGGGTCACGGCGACCCGGAATCGGGATGCGGGCCACACGGGCCGCTCACCCCTCAGGGTGCCCCTAGAAGCGGCCAGGGGCTCGCTCGGTGCGCCGCGCTCGCGCACCCCCGCAGCAGCTCAGAGTCGAGGCCGGGTCCTCAGGGTCGTCTCCCCCAGCCTCTTCTGAAGCCGGGTCCGCACCCCCGCAGGCTCATGGCCCATCGCAGCCACCGCCGCGTAGCTATGCAGCTTCCCAGCACCTCCTACCCAGAGGCTTTGCGCTCATTGGCCAGTCGCATGCTCACGCGCATTTATTAGCAAGCTCAATGCTCCACCCTCATTGGCTTGATTTGTCGGGGGGGGGGGGGGCGGTGTTGGTACTTTTTGCTCCACCCCATGGGAGGTGCACCAGTCTCTAAATTGCTCTCCTGAAGTTGGCGCTCCCTAACCTTTGCTTAGGTATTGTGCCTCACCTCTTTGGAACTCAGTTTCCCCATTTTAAATGAAGCCAGGTAGAGAAGGGATGCCGGCAGTTCCACCGAAAATCTTAGGTAGTTCCAAGGCGCTTTCTTTTCACGGCAGAGAAAGAAAAATCAGTACCTCTTACTACATTATAGGCTTCCATGAATCCCAAATGGAGAGCAGGTCAAATCTTCTGCCATATGGTTGTTTATTGTTTCTTTTTACTTTGTAGTCCATGTTTAAAAAAAATACTAAGCTTTTTTTTTAAATACAATTACTTAGTATGCTAAGTAATTGAAAACGTCTGCTCAGATTCCTCTGTCAAGACAACCCCTGTGCCTCCTTAGGAGGATGAGTTTGCCAAAAGTGCCTTCCAACAGAGTTTAAACAGCTGGGGATCAAAACCCAGGTCTTGTGTGTGAAAGATGTAGACAAGAGCTACATATTCAGTTCTTGAACAAACAAACAAACCAACACTAAAAAACGAGCTCACTGTGTAGCTTCTGACTGGCCTGAAATTGGCTATAGACCAAGTTGGCCTGAAACTCATAGTGTCCCACCTGCCTTTGCCTGCTGAGTCTGGGATTAAGGCCTCTGCCACCACCTGCAACCTATCCCCAGCTCTTAATAGCTCTTTAATCTAAGGTCACACTTAGCTTCATAGGCACTGGACAAGGCAATGCATTATGGATTCTTTTTCCCTGATGAGAAAACCAAGTCCCAGAGTAACGGATCTTTAAAGTTGTTGACCTGGGGACATTTTTCCTTGGGGTCAGAACCCGCTCATGTTCTTTCATGACTTTTATTGTCTCTCCAGCTCGATTACAGAGGAGACCTGGCACTGGTCTCCATTTCTCTAATTCTCGAAAGCAATGCAAACCATCACTTATTCACTCTATCAATATTTACTAAAAACCCACTATATGCCAAATCTTGTCCTGGGCACTGGAGAGAACATTAGCCCCTGACTCAGTTCTTTTCTTGGGACAGTTAATGGGCTACCATAGGAATTAAATAGCTATGAGCCATAGAAATAAACAAAGGAGTCGGTGCTGAGCCCCAAAGCCTTGCTTCCCACTGAGGTTCCCATTTCCGATCTAAGAGGGAAATTCAGGTATGTGTAAGTTCATGTAGGAAGCTTGGAGTTTCCTTTCTTTCTTAAGGTATTTTTTGGGGGAGGGGCGGGAAATGGCATGGATTTTGGATGAAGACCAGGGGAAACCTCTGGAAATACATTGTATTTAGCTTTTGCACATTGTTGTTTGCATTTTCCCAATATGTTGCAAGACGGATGCGCAAAAGGAAAAGGGTTTTATGGAGAAACAAGGATGTTACTGATTTGTTTCGTTGACAGAGCAAATAAGAATACCGGAGCTTGAATCCTACCCCTGCCACATGTCAAGTGCCTGACTTCTCCCTGATTCAGTTTCCTGGATAGTAAAATGAGGTTGATAACAGCATCAACCTCACAGAGTTGTAAGAATTAAATAGTAAATCACTTAGGATAGTGACATATAATATGCATCACCCAATGTCTTTATTTTTATTTAATTCTTACTATTGTGATATTGAAGATTAAGCCCATATTACACAAGCCACACTCCCAACCCTTTACAAAATTAAAAGAGAATTAGGGCCCTCAAAATGACTTAGATGTGAAAAGATACATGTTGTCAAGTTTGAAGACCTGAGTTCAATTCCCAGAACCCAAATAGTGGAACCTACTATTCAAAAGTTGTACTCTGATTTTTCACGCGCACGCACACACACAATAAAATGTAACTTTTTTTTCTTTTTATTCAAGAGAACTAAAATTTGCCAAATCTCAAACTTGTTGACCTCTTGACTCAGCCTCTCTAGTAACTGGGATTTCAGTCCACACTCTTTTTTTTCTAATCACGAAGCTAACAAAGTGATCCCCAAAAGCTCCGCCTACAAATTTTCCGTTCCCGCCCACCCCGAGAGCGTCTCGCCTCCTTCCCTCTTGCCCCGCCTCTTCTCGACGGCCGCGAAAGTCATGCCGGCCCTTGTAGTCCGTTCGCAGAGTCCCGTCGCCGGGGGCCTCACTAGAGAACTTTATTTCCCAGAGTTCCACGCGACGGCAGCCGTAAAGCGCGGCGGTCGAACGGCCGGTTCCGGCTGAATGTCAGTGCGGGGCTGTGGGCGGGGGAGGAAGGTGCTTGCTGGTCTCTCCGCCGCCCCCGTTGCCGGCTCGGCTTGAGATGTTGCCCCGGACGCCTGGCCGCTGGGCGGATCGGACATGAAAACCTGAGGCGGGCGGCGGGGCTGGGCTGCGGACATGTTCGGCCGCTCGCGGAGCTGGGTGGGCGGGGGCCACGGCAAGTCCTCCCGCAACATCCACTCCTTGGACCACCTGAAGTGAGTGTGCGGGGCGCGCGGCGGGGAGGCCGCGGGGCCGGGCGCGGACGCGCAGTTGCGGGCTTGGCTCGCTGGGTGCCGAGGTGCGAGGTGGACAGGGTCGCCGCGGGAGGGTACTGTGCTGGTTATCCGCGAGGCTTTGGAATCAGGGCACCTGGCTTCGAACCCTGACCCCGTCGCTCCTGGCCCAGTGACCTTGGACAAGCCGCGTGACTTTTCAGTCTCTAGACCCCCAATCTAAAAAGTAAGGCATCGACGAGTTTTCTGTTTGTGGACTGGAGTTGTCTTGATGGGGGGCAGACGGTGGCCACTGAGCGTCTCGGGGTGACACTTCTTGAACTATCAGTTTAGGGGCCAGAGGCCCCGGAATCGGTCAGATGTGGGTTCAAATTTAGCAGTATGCATTTAAGCTTCAGTTTCCTTAGCTGTAAAACGATTAGAGTGACAGTACTACTTTATGTGGTTATTTTTAGGATTGATTGGATAGGAGAATGAACATAAACGCGCAGAACATGTATAAGTGCTCTAAAAAGAAGTGGTGATTAAAGACCCAAGTGTTTTCAGAAGAAAATCTAGAGGAATAGTCAGCAGTAACACTTTGGGAGAGGACAGGTGGCTGACAGAGTCCCTGGGGACACAGAAAGAGGCTAGCTTTGGAATTAGACCTGTGTTCAAAACCTGACTCAGCCACTTAATGACTGACCTTGATCATATTTTATCTCTTTCCTTTTCCAAGTTACCATAACCAGCTGGGAACTATGAACTGTACAAGGCTTAGGTTGATGTGGTGAATGCAGAGTGATCACCCAGGATTGATACACAGCAAGTGGCTAATAGTGGTAGCCAAGCCTTCCCAGCCCACCCCAGTTCCTTTCTGTCACGTGGTTTCATTCATCATACCCCTGCTGTCTTCTATGGTTCGCTGGTTTCCTTTTAGCTTTTGTTAAACTGATACTTCCAAGGCGTAAGAGGCTGCTTGGTTTCTTTGCAGTTGAATTCCAAGATGTAGCACGTGCCTGGTGCATAGTAAGAACTCAGTGAATACTTAAGGAGTGGGGAAAAAGAAGAAGAAAAGAATAAATTGGGCAAGAGTTGCAGAACATTCAGGCAGAATGTCAAGGAGGCAGGGGATGCAAATTGAGAGAGTAGTGGAAGATAGAGACCTGTGAGGAGGGAGAGGCTTCAGGGAGAGAACTGGAGGTGGGGTGCTAAAGGTGGGGGGAAGCAGCTTATTTTCAGGGGGGGAGGAAGCCCAGGATTTCTAATGCTAAGTAAAGCGAGGGGATGGGAGGATGGTCAGGTTACAATAGAAAGGAAGACAGGGGTCCCTAGAAAGGATTGGTGAGTTAAAAATTATATGGGGGCTTCTCATTTGATCTCTGGGGTATAGAATGCTTCTACAATGAAGCAATCAAGCATTTAGTAAATGTTTATGGATCCCCAAGTGTGGAGAATAGGATGGTTTGGGGGTGGAGAGAGAAGCCAAGGATAGGAAGGAGGTCGAGGGCAAAAATGGGAGGATTGGTTGGGATGCAGAAATATTAACCAGGATGGCAGATGGCCCAAAAATGAAGTGTAGTGTGGATGAGTGGCTGAAGACTGAAGGATTTGAGGAATGTGTGGGTGGATATGGTTGTGAAGGGGAGGGTGTATCCTGAGGGGCTGGGCCTGCTACCAACCCAAGCACCTGCTGACTCTCCCTCAGCTCGGGCTGTAGCACAGTCTTGGTGGAATGAGAAGTTAAGATTTTAAGAAATTCGAGAATAGAATTCTTTAGTTGTTGGTTTTTATATTTCTTTCTGCAGAGGGCACAGAGATGTAAGTGGGTATGAGACAAGGTTTTTCTCTGGCTGTCGTCAAACTCTTGCTCCTAAGTGCTGCGAGTTCTAAACTCCCATTTATTTTTCCTTTGTTCCTTTGTCTTGCTTAAGATTTCCTGTTTTCTTTTAGTTATCACAAGTCTCTGAGTTCTAGGACCTTTTATTGTCTCTAGACTTAGAGAGCTTAGACTACCTGTCCCAAGGTGAAACAACTGTCAGAGTCAGATCTTGTTACACTGTCTTTCTGGGTAAAACTTCTCAGTTTGAAGAAACTTTTGACTGGGTTACATGTCATGGTCAATGAGATCTTTGCTGGCCAACCAGTGCACACCTGGGAATGTAAGGGTCCTCAGATTCCTTCCCAAATTCCTGGCATCTTCTCAGGTTCCTTGTTGAGGTCACTGGAAAAAGAACTTGCCTGCCTTGGTTTATACTGACCTGTTTGATTGCTATCACAGCCTCAGGAACCAGGGTATTGATTGGCATGGGGCTTAAAGGTTCCAGGGTGACTTGGAAAAGGGACACATACAGCCAGTGCCTACCCCAGCGCTTGTGCTGCCCTACATCTGGCTGTGATAATAAGCACCTTCTTGTACAGAGCAGCTAGTTCCCTGGGAGGTCTGCTGGCTCCCCCTGGAGACCATAGTGGAGTCAGGAGTCCACAATGTGTCAAATGCAGGAACTGCTGCAGGCCTAGGGTCTGTAGAATCCCTTCCTAGGATTTTTCTGCAGGAGGAAACACTAGCTCAGAGTCCCCCAAATGGGAAAGAGCCATCATATGTCACAGCCACTTTGTGGGCACCATAGTCAGGTTTGCAGCAGATCCAGCTGGGGTTGGAGGCTACAGGAAGCAAGGCTGTGAGTAGGAAGAGGCTTTCTGACACGTTGGATGACAAACACTTAAAGTGTGTCCTGCACTTGGGGGAGAGGGGTTCCCAGGACATAGGACTTTCAGTGCTAAAGCCAGGACAGCTTTCAGTAAACTAGCAGATCACCATTCTAGTTATCAGTGACAGTCCCAGATCCTTTAAAAGCCAAACCAAAAACTCCATGGTCTTTCAATAGCCCTCATTGATCTAGAATTCGTGCTCCTTCCTGCCTTAGTCTCTAGATGGGGATTCCAGGCATGTGCCACCGTGCCTGGCTTCCAGAGCATTCTTGTCCTGATCTAGCAGTCTTGGTGGAATGAGAGGTTAACATTTTAAGAAAATTGAGAATAGATTTTTTTAGTTGTTGGTTTTTATATTTCTTTCTGCAGAGGGCACAGAGATGTAAGGGGGAATGAGATAAGGTCTTACTCTGGCTGTCCTCAAACTCTTGCTCCTAAGTGCTGGGATTACAGACATACATCACCATGACATACATGCCCATGTCCATACAGATATACATGCCCTATCCCTGCTTTAAAAATGCTCTTTAAGCCAGGCAGTGGTGGCACATGTTTTTAATCCTAGCACTCAGTAGGCAAATCTCTGTGAGTTCAAGGCCAGCCTTGTCTACAGACTGAGTTGCAGGATGGCCAGGGCTTTTGTACAGAGAAACCCTGTCTTGAAGCACACCCCCTCCCAAAAGAAGAAAAAGAAAAAAAAATACTCTTTCCGTAACAGCACACCGCATCTTACAAACTGAAAAGAAACTTTCCTTTGTCATGGGGTTTTACTTTTGCTAAACAGTGAAAAACTGTACCTAAGTTATTTACCTACCAAGTTTGGTCAGTCATTTAGTTGGGGCAGATGGAATAGTCAGGTGGTTGTTCATGACATATTATTGGCAGTTTAGTGCCCAGACTGTGACATTAACCGACAAATGCTTATCTCTAAGCAGAACCTCTACTGATGGAGTCTTTTGATTGTTACCAACATGTTATCTTGAAAGGGGGACTGTAGCTAGGCAGTGGTGGCAGTTGTACGCCTTTAATCCCAGCACTCGGGAGGCAGAGGCAGGTGGATCTCTGTGAGTTAGAGGCCAGCCTGGTCTACAAGAGCTAGTTCCAGGACAGGCTCCAAAACTACAGAGAAACCCTGTCTCAAAAAAAAAAAAGTCTTAATTCTAGTTCACCATGTGGTATCAAGATTCTTGGTCCAAGTACGGATCTTGCTAAATGGCTGTAAGAGCTAGTGGAGTCAGTTGGCGCCTGGCACTGGGCGGTGTGTTCTAGTGATGGCAGAGAGCAGTTTCTTAGACAAAGCTGTCAGGGATCTGCCTCCTTTCTGCTGCTCTCGCGCTCAGCAGGTTCTGGGCACCTGTTGTGTCGCTCAGCCACCCAAATGGGAACAGAGAGTTCCTTCTTTTTAAAATGTTTTGTCAGTTTCATGCATGTATTGTGATTCTATTCACTCCCGTTAAGATCTCCTTTTCTCGGTGTTGCCAGAAGTCTAGAATGTCCCTTTCCACCTGGGATCATGCCTCTTTGAGCTAAAGCCAAGGGTGCTTGTTCTCATTGTTCAAGCCCTACTCACTTGCCTTGCCTGCTCACTCCCTCCCTGAGTCCTTGGGTGGGACCAGCTCCACTTTTGCTAGAGCACAGAGAATGAGAGCAAGGATGATGCCCTGGAGAAGCAGCGTCTCTTACCCAAAGACTGGGAGCTGTGCAGCTAGCCAGAAGCCCCTTACCTGTTCCTGGGATGCTAAGCTTTGCCTAAGACAGCATGGAGAGCCTGGGGATCTCTGTTACCAGGTCAGCCAGGTATCCTGTGTGAAGGCCAAATCCTTGTAGGCCAGCGAAGTCCCTGGACAGTCCTTGGTGAGCGGACCCCTCCAAATGCAGACTGGCAGGACCTAAGAAATGAATAATTATCTCCAGGTAGTAGGGCGGCATGGATGGGTAGGAGGGGAGGGAATATCTCAGGCTCAGGAAACTGCCTTGAGAGAGCCTCTTGTGCTGACAGAGATCTAGTTCAGTGAGGTCTAGGACCCTAGGCACCAAGGCCAGATCCCACTGAGCCTTAAGAGCCATGCTAGAGAATCGGGACTATGTTGCAAACAGTAGGGGCCCTTTATCATCAAGGAGGGTGAAGAGTTAGAGAGGATAGAGGAGGGCCACTCTGGAGGGGGCAGCACTCAAGGCAGCAGCCATCACCTGGTGGGTTACTGTGGCACTGCTGGAATCCAGGTTCTTACATGGTGGCCCTGCTCTCAGTGAGCAGCACACATCTGTGTGCCTTCTGTCCGAACCTTTAC